ACAATCGAGTTTGGAGGCAGACGGCGGGGTGAGGAGGGCAGTAGTTGACGGGGCTGGGGATAGTTGTTATTGGGTAGTGCCAAAAACTGTGGAGATGTTTCAAAAATAGGGTTCGGGTTAGCTGCTCTACAAAATATTTTTGTCAAAAATGACGACCTGTCTAGCACTTTGACGACTCCTTTGTGAACTGTTAACTGTTTCCAAGAGTCGAATTTTTTGGTTCTGCGAAATTTTGTGTCAGCCGAATTACGGACTACCCGGATTGGATTACCTCTGGAGTATCCTCCGGATTACGTTGCATTTTTTCTGGAATTACCCCGGCCCCGGATTACCCCGGATTTTTTCAATTTACCTCGGATTACACCTGCCGGATTACATAACAGCTTTCAGCCGGATTATCTTTAGTCCTTTCCCCCTGGGTTCTTCTCATAGAGTTTGAAAAATTCTAACGCTAACGCGTTAACGGCCCCCTTAGATTTTAACGTGAACACTGGCATGTATACATATATAATACTACAACGATTCATTACATTGGTAGTTACTGATTTTGATGTACACTGCAGCCAAATATCTAGGAAACTTATGTTGATCAGATTTAATTAAATGATCTACTAAAAATAATTATACATACACTGTAAATTGCTTACGAACTATAGGTTCGTAATGCAAACCAAATCGTTCGTAGCTTACGAAGGATTTTGAAGCGTTGTATTACGAACTAATTGTTTGTAAGCTTACGAACAAATAGTTCGTAATGCAAACTGATTGTTCGTAAGACCCGTCTAGCCTTACAAACAATCGCTTTGCAATACGAACAATTTCTTTGCAATACAAAGAACGAAAATTGTTCGTAACGTTGCAAAGTATTTAGTTCGTAAGCTTTTTACAGTGTACGGTGGTAAATTCCCTGTACACTGAAAATTCTAAACAATTTGTCTATTACAAATATTTCAAAGTTTAGTATGCTGATCGTTCGCCAAGCTAGCTTGCTCAAATGAACACCGCCATTACATTCACGACAAGGAACGTGAACTTTTCAAAAATATTAATAACACAGCGTTAGATAAGAGATCTCTGATAAGTGTTTCATATATTAAAAACACGTACACATTTAGACGTGTTCTAAAATGTATGTTGACACTTACAATCTTAAATAAGGTAAAAACATAATATATATTTTCCGTTATAGGTTGGCTGCATCAGTATACTTTCCGCCCCTTTTAAAACGAAATTATTACAAGGCGGAACTACACTCCCAGGCAACAATCAAAGCCGTGGCTGGGGCGCTCAGCGGCCGCGTTCAAAACGGCGTCTGTGTTGTATCTTTATACAAGGCGGCACGATAGTATTATTGAAACGCGACCAC